TTTCTGGTTCTCTTTATTTTTGTACATTTGAAAAACCATCTGGTGTCATTTTCTTGGTTGGTCCAATATAGATTTGCTTCCGTTCATATCCTTTCTGCCATTGTTGTTAGATATATTACATTTTTGTAGATTATAAACCCAACAATATGTGTGTATACATATCATTTTATGCAATTGCACTTTAAATTATTTAAGAAAGGAAAGTAGACAAAATATGCAATTATACTCTCTTTAACAATTATCTATAAAGTTCAATATACTGGCCACTTTGTTTTTCCATGTGGGGTTGAATGCATATCAGGAATCAGCCTAGAAATCTTTCATTAGTGTTAATAAATATTAAGATGAATCTTCCAGCAACAGATTTTCTCAATATTTGTTTATGTGAAAACGTCTATTTTATCTTTATTTTTAGAATACAGTTTTGCTAGATATAAGATTCTTGGTCTCTTATTTCCTTTTAGCACTTTTAATAAGTCATTCCACTTTCTTCTGCCTTCTATTACTTATGATGAGCAATCAGTTTTTAATCTTATTGGAGTTGCCTTTAATTGGTAAATATATACACATGAATATCAATTAGACCCTGTTGGTAAATTGTGTTGTTCATATTTTTTGTATCTATGCTAATTTTCTGACTAGTAATTTTGTCAGTTAGTGAGAAGGTTGAAATCCCCAACTATCATTGTAGATTTGTCTATCTCTTCTTTCAGCATTATCTGCTTTTGCTCCATGTATCTACTTTGTGAATTTCTCACTTTTTATTAATGTATTTAGATAAGTTTAAAAAATAAGATGCTTCATTTTTTAAAGAAGTTTTAAGCTTACAGAAGAAAAGATGAAAGAAAAATACAGAGAGTTCCCATATACCTCCCTGCAGTTCTCCTATTTTTAACATCTTACATTAATGTTGCGCATTTGTTACAATCCATGAGCCAGTATTGATACTCCATTAATTACTAAAGCCCAGAGTTTATATTAGGCTTCACTCTTTGTGTTTGACATTCCATGGGTTTCAACAAATATATAATGACACATATCAAAAATTACAGTGTTATACATAACAGTGTTACTATTCTGAAAATCTCTTGAGTTCCATTTACCCCTGGTCCCTTCCCTCAAACTCCTGGCAACCACTGAGCTATTTACTGTGACTATAATTTTTCATTTTCCAGAATGTCATATAGTTGGAATCATACAGAAATTAGTTTCATTTCTTTCATCAGAGTTTGTAGTTTTTCCTCATATAAACCTTGTACATGTTTTATTAGATGTATGTCTAAACATTTCCCTTTTTATTGCTAATGTAAATGGTATTATGCCTTTAATTTCAAATTTCAGTTGCTCATTGCTGCTATGTAAGAAATCAACCGTCGGCAGCTAAACCTTACCATCTGGATTGCGTGTCGAGCAGAAGGATCCTTAAAGATCTTCATTTCTGCTCCACATTGGCTGATTAACAAAACAGGGTTGCCGCTGATCTTCAGACAGGACAATGCCGAGACAGATGCTGCAGGCCAGTTTGAGGAGCATGAGCTGGCCTGGAGCCTGAGTCCTCTCTTATTCTGCTATGCTGACAAAGAGCAGCCAAAGCTCTGCACAATGAGAATCGGAAGGGGGATTCATCCAGAAGGCATGCCGGGCTGGTGTCAGGGCTTCTCCCTGGATGGTGGTAGTGGTGTCCGAGCTTTGAAAGTCATCCAGCAAGGAAACTGCCCGTGGCTGATCTATAACATTGGTATTGATGTCAAGAAAGGCCGAGGTCGACACATTGATACCTGCAGGGTCATCTTTGTCCCCCGTTACCTGTTAGATAATAAGTCATCTCACAAGCTTGCATTTGCACAGAGAGAATTTGCCAGGGGACAGGGAACAGCCAATCCTGAAGGTTACCTTTCCACCCTTCCTGGTTCCAGTACGGTGTTCCACTGGCCTCGGAATGACTGTGATCAGCTATTGTGCGTCAGACTGATGGATGTTCCCAATTGTATTTGGTCTGGAGGCCTTGAAGTCAACAAGAATGATTCCTTCCATATCAACACGAGGGATACCTTGGGAAAATGCTTCTTCCTGCGAGTGGAAATTACTCTCCGAGGAGCTACGTATAGAATCTCATGTAGTGACACAGATCAGTTACCTCCTCCTTTCCGAATTGACAGCTTTTCTAAGGTCCGGGTTGTCTTTCCTCAGCATGGTGTAGCTGAACCCAGGCTCTGGACTGAAGTGAAGCCCATAGCTTCATTGGATTATGCCTGGGACGAACCCACCTTGCCACCTTTTATCACTCTGACTGTTTAAGGGGCAAGGTCCTCCGAGATCAACTGCAACATGAAAGATTTCCAGGATAATCGGCAGCTTTATTATGAGAATTTCATTTATATTGCTGCTACATAAACATTCTCTGGTTTGCAGGGCGGAACAGGCAGGCCTGTGGCTTCCAACAAGGCCATTACCTGTGCGGAGCTGGTCTTGGATGTCTGACCTAAGACACAAAGAGTCATTTTAAAGAAGAAGGAACCAGGAAAGCGTCCTCAGCTATGGAGGATGACAGGAGCAGGAATGCTGGCCCATGAGGGCTCTTCAGTTCCTCACAACCCCAATAAGCCCTCAGCCGCCCGCTCCACCAAGGGGTCTGCCCTCTTAGATATTGCTGGTCTCGCTGCAGTGACGGACAACAGACATGAGCCGCTGGTGCTAAGAAAGCCTGACGGTAGGCGAAGTACAACTCAGTCTTGGAGTTTCCCAGAAGGAAAACTGACGTGTGGGTTACATGGGTTGGTCGTCCAGGCCAAAGGAGGACTTTCTGGTTTGTTTGATGGCGCTGAAGTTGTTCTGGGTCCTGACACTTCCATGGAGCTTTTGGGGCCAGTTCCACCTGAACAACAATTTATTAATCAAAAAATGAGACCTGGTTCTGGAACGTTATCCATCAGAGTCATCCCAGATGGACCAACTAGAGCACTCCAGATTACAGATTTCTGCCAACGGAAAAGTGACCGTTCATATGAAGTGGATGAACTTCCTGTCACCGAACAAGAGCTGCAAAAATTAAAGAATCCAGATACAGAACAGGAATTGGAAATGCTTGTGAGGTTAGAAGGTGGAATAGGGTTGTCCTTAATTAAGTCCCAGAAGAACTGGTCTTTGCAAGTCTTACGGGAATCAATGTGCACTATGCACAGCTGGCAACCAGTCACATGCTTGAACTCAGCATACAGGACGTACAGGTGGACAATCAGCTCATCGGCACCACACAGCCCTTCATGCTCTATGTGACTCCCCTGGGCAATGAGAATGAGGTCATCGAGACTGGACCAGCCGTGCAAGTCAAGGCAGCGAAGTTCCTCAGTAAGAGTGCGCTGACCAACATCTACAAGCATCTGATGATCACAGCTCAGAGATTCACAGTGCAAATTGAGGAGAAACTGCTCCTCAAGCTGCTAAGTTTCTTTGGCTACGATCAAGCAGAATCAGAGGTTGAAAAATATCTTGAAAACCTCCTTGAAAAGACAGTCGAGCAAGGTGGAACATCAGTTCGATACTACTTTGAAAATCTCAAAATCAGCATTCCTCAGATCAAGCTAGTGTGTTCACCCCCAACAAGCTGCCACTGGATCTTAAGGCCCTAAAAAGCACCTTGGGATTTCCTTTGATACGGTTTGAAGACGTTGTGATTAATCTAGATCCATTCACTCGGGTACATCCCTATGAGACCAAGGAGTTCATCATCCATGATATCCTCAAACATTTCCAGGAGGAACTCCTCAGCCAGGCAGCTCGAATCCTGGGATCAGTGGATTTTCTTGGCAATCCTACGGGGCTTTTGAATAAGGTTTCCGAAGGGGTTACTAGACTGATAAAGTATGGAAATTTTGGGGGCCTCATCAGAAATGTTACACACGGAGTATCAAACTCTGCAGCCAAGTCTGCCAGGACTTACCAGAGGGCTTAGGGAAGACGATGGACATTCTGCATCAGTCAGAGCGGGAGTACATCAGGTACCACGCAGCCACAAGTGAGGAACACCTCGTAGCCGGCATCCACGGCCTGGCTCACGGTATCGTTGGTGGATTGACCAGTGTTATAACTTCAACAGTGGAAGGTGTGAAAACAGAAGGGGGTGTCAGCGGTTTCATATCTGGCCTTGGAAAAGGGCTTGTTGGCACTGTAGCCAAGCCAGTGGCAGGCGCCCTGCATTTTGCATCAGAAACAGCCCAGGCGGTGAGAGACACAGCCACACTCAGTGGCCCCAGGACTCAAGCACAAAGGGTTCGGAAGCCGCGGTGCTGCGCAGGGCCCCGGGGGCTGCTTCCCCGATGTTCAGAGAGCCAGGCAGAAGGACAGGAGCAGCTCTTCAAACTCACGGACCACACGGAGGGCGAATTCTTCATCGCCGTGAGAACACTGACAGCTACTGCGTGCTCATCTCCTCCAAAGCGGTTTACTTCCTGAAAAGGGGAGACTACGTGGACCGGGAAGCCATCTTCCTAGATGTCAGATACGATGACCTTTACCACTGCCTTGTCTCCAAAGACCATGGGAAAGTGTACGTGCAGGTGACCAAGAAGGCCGTGAGCGCGAGCAGTGGCGTGTCCATCGCAGGCCCTTCCCACCAGAAGCCGACGGTCCACGTGAAATCTGAGGTCCTCGCTGTCAAGTTGTCACAAGAAATAAACTACGCGAAGAGCCTCTGCTATGAACAGCAGCTGATGTTGAGACTCGGCGAAAACCGGGAGCAGCTGGAGCTGGACTCCTGAAGCCCCTGCGGCCCCGACCGCGGCCAGACCCCGGAGGACAGAGGCCGCCCTCGGGGCTTACGCTAGAGGCGGAGCCAGAGTCGGCTTTAGGGAAGTTGTCAAGGAATGAGGGAAAGTCAATGCTCATGAGGAAAAATACAAATGCAAATCATATTAATTTGTGAGGCAGGGAGTTATTTTAGATTGTGGGAAGTAATTTTTAAAGGTATTGGTTAAATAACATTTAAAAACATGTACTGAGACGAATCTAATTTTTAGATTGCCCTGTATTTTGTTAACACGTATATATGTACAACTGTGTTTTTGTAAACGTATAGGCACATTTCTGAACAGTGCCTGTGCTGTGTGTCAAGGCTTGTTAACTGTAAAGTAATATAAAATTATATTGGATCTTCTATTGCACTAATTCTACATGTCTAATTCAGGACACTGTCTATAGAAAGTCATTCTTAAAAGTTAAAAAAAAAAAAAAGAAATCAACTGACTTTTGTGTATTAACATTATATTCTACAACCTTACTATAACCATATGTTAGTTCCACAAATGGTTTGGTTGATTTTGGGGGATTTTTTACATAACCAATCATGCCATCTGTGAGCAGAGAGTCTTATTTCTGTCTTCCAATTCTGCTTAACTTTTACGTTTGTTTCATGTTTTATTGCATTAGCTAGGACCCTCAGGAGGATGCTGAGTAAGAGAGGTGAGAGCAGGCATTCTTGCCTTGTTTTTCACCTTACCAGGAAAGCATCTAATTTCTCACCAGGGAACGTGATGTTAGCTGTAGGTTTCCTAGAGATGTTCTTTGTCACTTTGAGGAAGCTTCCCTCTAATTTGCTGAGAGTTATTAATGGATGTTAGATTTTGTCAAATGTTCTTCTGCATTTGTTGATATGATCTTGTTTTTTTCTATATCCTGTTAATGTGATGAATTACATAAGCTTATTTTCAAATGTTGAACTAGCCTTGCATAATTAGTATAAGGTCCACTTCATCCTCTTTTTATACATTATTGAATCAAATTTGCTAATACTTTGTCCAGGATTTTTGCATCTATCTTAACGAAAGATAGTTTTCTATGATTTTTCTTTCTTGTAGTGTCTTTGGTTTTGGTCTGTGGTAATAATGACCTCATAGAATAACTTGGGAAACATTCTCTATGCTTCTATTTTTTGGAAGAGATTCTGGAGAACTGTTATAATTTTTCTTTGTCAGTGTTAGAATTTACCAAGGAAACTCTTTTGGGCCTGGTACTTTCTATTTTATCAGGTTATTAATTATTGATTCAATTCCTTTAATAGATATAGGACAACTCAGATTGTCTTTTTCTCCTGGTGTGAATTTTGGTAGATTGTGTGTTTCAAAGAAGTGCTGCATTTTATGTGGGCTATCAAATCTATGAAGTTGTTCATAATATTTTTTAATGTCCATTGAATCTATAGAGGTGGTTCTTCTTTAAATGTTGATATTAATAATTTGTATTTTTTTCTCTCTCACTTTGGATAGAGATTTATCAATTTTATTTATCTTTTCAAAGAATCAGATTTTTATTTTGTCGACTCTTTTCTATTGATTTTCTGTCTTCCATTTTATTGATTCTTATGTTTTTCTTCTGCTTATTTTGAGTTTAATTTGTTCTTCCTTTACTAGTTTCTTAAGGTGAAAAGTTAGATTATTGATTTTAGACCCTCCTTGGGGTACAACATTTGCATTCAATGCTATAATTTTGATAAAAGCATTGTTTTACTGCATTTCACATACTTTTGTGAGATGTCATTGAAAATGAAAAGCTTTGACCACCCTCTGTAACTTACTGCAGTATCTTTTCCATCTCTTTAATTTTTATCTCTATGGGTGTTCAAATTTAAAGTTGTATTTTCATTTTCATTTAGTTTGAAATATTTTAAAACTTCTCTCAAGACTTCTTTGATCCATTTTTTATTTAGAAGTGTAATGTTAAGAATTCATGTATTTTGACATTTTCCAGCTATCTTTCCCAAGTTGATTTCTAGCTTAATTTCACTGTGGCCATAGAGCATAATTTGCATGACTTACATGCTTTTAAACAAGTGCTTTTTAATGGCCTAGATAATGATGTGTCTTTGTGAACATTTCATGGGAGCTTGAGAAGCATGTGTATTCTGCTGTTGTTGGGTGAATTATTCAATACATGTCAATTGGATGCAGTTGATTAATGTCACTGTTGGCTTGAATTATAATATGTCTTTCCTAATTTTTTGCCTGCTTAATCTGCTAATTACTAGTAGAAAGATGTTAAAGTCTCAAAGTACAGTAGTAAATTCATCTATTTTTCCTTGAAGTTCTATTAGTTTTTGCCTAACATATAGTGATGCTCCATTTTTAGGTGCGTAAACACTAAGGATTCTTACTTCTTGGAGAGCTGACTCCAGTTTTATTATGTAATTAGTCTATTTTTGATAATTCTTCTTGTTCTGAAGTGGCACATGTCATTAATAGAGCTACTCCCGTTTTCTTTGGATTACTGTTAGAATATTATTGTCACCAGTGGGCTGTTTCAGGCTCTTGACTTTGCTACACAAAAGCATTTGAGAGCAAGTCCAGAATAAAAGTAAGCAAAAGAGTTTATTGCAAAGCAAAAGCACACTCTGACAGCTGATCAGGGCTGGCTACTCAAAGGTGAGACAGCCCTGTCTGATGCAGGGGGATCACCCTTTATGGGAGATTTACATGATTATTCACGGAGGGGTGGGAAGGGGTGCTGCTGATGGGCATGTTATGGGTGATACCCTGGCTGCACATGTGCTGTGGTTGTACCTGCTAGTATTACCTTGCATGTCTCATTAGCATCTTAAATCTCTACCCAGAGGTGTTTTTCTTTTACTATTTAGTGAATACAGGTCAGCGCAGGGACACTAATCATGGGTTTCTGTGCTTGTGTGAATTTGGGAATTCTACATTCTATTTTTCTACCTCCTTGCTGCAGGATGTCCTAACTGTGACCCCATGATGTGGTTTGTGCTTTGTCGGGTAGTTTGTTCCCTCCATCTATTTAGCAACTTTGTTCTCCTTTAAGGATGGCTATGACCACCCTTTATAACTTACCTCAGTATCTTTTCCATCACCTTAATTTTTATCTCTATGGGTCTTCAACTTTAAAGTGGGTTTCTTGTAGACAGCTGAGTCTTGTTTTTTGATTTACTATGACAGTCTTTGTATTTTAATCAGTGTGTTTTAGACCATTGACAGTTAAGATGATTACTGATATAGCTGAATTAATATGTACCATATTTGTTAATAATTTTTCCCTACTGCCCTTGTTCTTCGCTCTTATTTTTGTGTCATATACTTTTTCTACTTTTTGTGTTTTAATTGAGCAGGAACAATGGTTGAATATATTGGGAGATATGCTCTCATACAAGAGTTTGTGATAAAGGATTAATTTTCTTGATTACTGTAAGGTTTATTGCTGAGGTAAAATGAGGAAACTGAGGCAAGTATAAGAAAATGAGAAGTTAATTTATTCAGCTCTGGGGTGAGGTTCTGTGGTCCAGGAAGGGGCCAAAGAAGTTGTGCCTGGCTGTTTAGGTCATGGGGTTTTATGGGGAGAGAAGGCGATTGATTGGCTATTGGGGAAACAAAGCAAAGGCAATTTTATTGGCTGTCAGGAAGCAGGAAGTACCTGAAACTAGTTGCCATTGGTAGGCGGGCGGGACTTTGGGTAAGTGGGTCTTGATTGGCTGTTGGGGAAACAAAGTGAAGGCAATCTTATTGGCTATTAAGAAGCAGGAAATGCCTGGAGCTAGTGGTCATGGGTAGGCCTGCGGGACCTTAGGTAAGTGGGCCTTCTGGGGTCATCAGAGCAGACTGCTACTGGGCAGGGTCTAATGGGACTTCTTTAAAAAATTTTCTTTCAGGGTTTATCAACAGCGGGCTGGGGGTTAAATGCATCATTTAGTGCTGAATGTGGGCCTGGGTCTGGTATGCGGAGGCGGGTGCGGAGAAGCCGTGTGGCAAGGCCAGATCCAGGTATTGATTGACTTATGACCTATGCAACTTACGACAATTTGACTTTATGACCACAATCACTAGCCACAACTGCTCAGCGTCTGGCAGCGCAAACATTGCCCAGCTGGGCGTACGACAGTGCGGACCAGGTTCTGGCAGCACTACCATCTCTGCGTGCATATAGCCTACTCAACTTAAGACCGAATCATGTTACAACCGGTCTACTCAATGGTGACCCTTAAATACCTTAAGCTCTGTTCAATTTTTTTTTTCTTTTTGGTCCTTAGACTCAAAAATTTTAAATAATCTTTCTTCTTGTTTGTTGCTTCTTTCTTCTGCCTGCTAACGTCTTCTGTTAAAGCTGTCTCATGAATTTTTTAATTCACATTTGTATTTCTCATCTCCAGAATTTCTTGTTGGTCCTTTTAAAATAATTTCTGTCTCTTTGTTGATATTCTCCTTTTGTTCATATATTATTTTCTTCACTTTTTAGTTATTTGTCTATGTTTTTATTTAGTTCCTTGAGCATATTTAAGATAGTTGTTTTTAAAGTCTTTGTCTAGTATTTCAAATGTCGATGTTTGTTCAGGGACAGTTTCTGCAACTGTATTTTCTTCCTTTAATTGGGCCATGCTTTGAACACCTTGTGATTTTGTTGTTGTTGTGGAAAATGGGGCATTTAGAATAAAAAAGACATTTCTTCTCCCAATGTTTGCAGACTAAGCCATTCAATAATTAGAAGGGCATGCTCTGAGACTTGAGATCAGCCTGGTGTCAAGGCTCTTTCATCTTCTGTGATCTTTTATCAGACTCCATTTTCCCTGGGCCTGTGTATGATTTTCTTCATTTTTCTCTTGTGTACATAGCTCTTAAAAAAATGTCTTAATTTCCGTAGGGGTCCTAGCCCTGCTTCTTCTCAGAGTCACACATATTCTGTTGTATTCCTCTATGTGTAATCTGTTGCCCCAGGCGTGTGCAGGTCTGTCATGCATTTCACAGCAGTATTCACAAGCTATGTTTGCTGTCTTCTACTGGTTTTCATAGCCTGAGATCGGAACTGTTCTGATCTTGGCTGTCTGACCTCTGAGTTAGTAAAAACAGAGACTAATTCAATATGGAGCTCCAAGACAAGTTAGAATGTTGCAAATAAGGTCTGGTTTACTCTCTCCAGTTCCAGGGAAGGAGTGGGGAGCTTGGCCATCACTTTGCTGAGACCATTCTGTGCAATTCCAGGGATGAAGTGTGGCAAAGCCAAGTAAAAATGTCACACAATTTTCTACCACTTTGAATGTGGCTCTGTTTTGTTTGGATGTTTGTTTGTTTTCTGTAAACCTTGAGCTGTTTTCCATAGTTTCTAAAAATCAGTTTAACCAATTTTTAGTTGTTTCTTTAATGTTTCGTGAGGGACAAAGTTCTGAAGTTTTCTAGTCTGCCATTTTTCTGACATCACTGAGATTAATTTCATGCCCCAGCATATTTTTTTTTTTTTGGTAAATATTCTGTGTGCATTGAAAAAGAATGTGTATTTGACAGTTGGTATTTGGAATTTTCTATACACATCGACTAAGTTAAGTGTTGCTCAAACCTTTTACATTCTTACCGAATTTTTGTCTACTTGCTGTATCAATTATTGATGTAGGGGTATGAAAATATCTGACTTGGTCAGGTGCGGTGACTTACACCTGTAATCCCAGCACTTTGGGAGGCCGAGGTAGGTGGATCACCTGAGGTCAGGAGTTTGAGACCAGCCTGGCCAGCAGGGTGAAACCCCATCTCTACCAAAAATACAAAAAATAGCCGGGTGTGGTGGCAGGTGCCTGTAAATAGAAGAAAGAGTAAACTATTTGAGTTCAAAGCTCTGGT